TACAATATTAAAGAAACAGACTGATAGACTGTCTCCCTTCATAATAGTTATCCGTAAGTAATGAGTAATGATTTATATTCAAATAAATTTATTAAAACAATTACGGACTAAACTGATTTACTCAAAAACGATTGATAAGGTACATTTACCATTGTCAATGTGCAGCTGAGAGACGTTCCTATTTTTTTTTTCTTTTGGGTGTCTTTGTTGATCATTTTTTGTTTACGAGTGAATATGATTGGCGATAATCGTTCTTATATATCAAAAAATATTAAATATTATATTAAAATCCATTAAAATTATAAAAACAATTTATCAATTAAACACGGCTAAAAAGTAAAATTGTCAATGAACTTGTCATCAATGAAACGATAAAAAATGACGGAAGAATTTGAAGATGCGCATATACTCTCGAATACCTCCAGTCCTGGAACACCGTGTTCAACCTTAACGACTGTGGTCCCGATCCTTTAGCCATGCTTCAAACCTTCACATTTGGATAATTAGATTTATTGTATATATACATTACGTTTGACTAAAACCGTCACGTGGTAGAATTAACGGTTACTGTTTCTAAATTTAATGATAACAAGCTTGTGTGTTAAACCGCTAGACGGCAGTGTATGTTAAGCTATTGCACATATGTAGATAATTTATTTTATTTTACTATTAATAATCAATGATTTTACATTTATACTGCATGTAAAAGGTTAATAATAAAATATATTATATAAAATATAATTTACTAATTAGCAACTAAATTTTTGATGATTAAGAAATAAGCTGAAAGTTAAAGTAATATTATACGTGTTATCGCCATTATCAAATCAAAAAATGTTAGTAGGTACGTACTTCATTTATTTGTATTTAAAAACATTGAAAGTAGTACTTACAATACAAAAAGATTGAACAAATAATTATTAATTAATCCAATTTAATTTTAAAGAGATAAAATATTATACATAAACGATAAACAAGATAATAATTATTATTTTCAGTTTAACTGGAAAAAGCTAAAAACTAGATTATTTTAATGGTTACCTACTTGAAATAATTGAGATATGAATTAATTCAAAATCTAAATTTTTATAGTTAAGTTAAAAAAATAAAAAAAATAAACTTTTTAACCTAGTAATTTTTTTTTTTTTTTTTTTAATGTAACAGTAAATCTCAAAAATTAACATTTTAAAATTTAGATGCATAATTATTACGTAAATCAAAAATTAATTAAATATTAAGTTTGAAAATTTAAGCAACACGAATTACTTACATTACATGAGTACGTATATATTACAAGTATATTATAACTATACATACAAGGTTTATGATTGAAGGTTTAATAAAATAAATTATTTATAGTTAATGACTGTTTTTTGTTGGGAAGAAAAAATACATTTTAAATGTTGAAAGATGTTAAAAGGAACATCATAGGTAAACGTGATGCCATGATACTTCGTTTGCAGTTAAATAAATTATTAGTGTACCTATGAATTATTATTTATTACCTATATTTGTAAACAATTGGCTATTTGATATTTCTATAGATATTTTACATAATTTATCATAGTAATACTGTATGTTAAATTAACTTTTGTCAAAAACATTGCTGCATATACAACATAATGTGGGCATCGAGAATATTGCGAATAAAAATGTCTACAATTCTACTAAAAAAATATTTATTGATAATTGTACTTATAATTAGCACAAATGTATTACGCTTTTTATTTAGTATCGTGCGTATAAAAAAAGTAAAAAAAAAAAAAATGCGACAGACAAATTAATTGATATCGATGCAACACTATCATCCGTAGGTAGAGGTATGTGAATGTGTGAAATAAATAACTGACTCACTCGATAACTCGTCCGCCCAGTAGGTATATTATATGAGTTTAATAGCGTATACTCGAATATTTCCAAACGTTCTCACACATTCGGGAAAATCCGCGAATATACTAGACTATAATATAACCGGCGTTGCCACAATACTATAAAGTAAAATAAAGTAATAAAGTAATAAAGTAATAAAATAATTATTATTAATATCAGGCTTGGACTGGGATGTTGTAACATCCGCTCTTCACTGGTCGCTACCGTTCGACGTGTTCCCTATGGCAAAGTTATGTTTATATTAACACTAGAAATCAGGGTAACCTTATTTAAGTAAAGTCCATAGGTATACGTATACAATATTTATCGCATATTAATACAAAACAGATAACTAATATACAATAAATAATAATGTATAAAGTATACGAGGGTTATCGATCTGAGGAGAGTGGCCGGGTAGGTAGATATGATGTGTAGACTTGCCTCTAGTGTGCGGATGTTCATCGATAGCCGTGCGGATCATCGAGAAATCTTCTCCGCTGTCTTGTTCTTTTCGTGTCGCTCACACCCTTGTATATCGGTAATTTTATACACTACGACTCATACAGAAAAACTTGAGTCAGCAATCGGCCCCGATCGCCATTCCTCACACTCAGTATATTAGCCGTGCTCTGAAGAACAATGTTACGATGTCGATAGATGGCAATTGTTACTATATAAAAATATGGAGTGAAATATTTATTAAAACCTAAAGAGCAAACATTAATAATTTTATGGACATTTTTCAATACCTACATTTCACTATAGTTAAATAGTTGCAATATATCTACATGCTAGCTTTGATTTGTAAATATAATAGAATAAATATTTATAAAAAAACAAAGTATAAAATTGACACGGAGTGATGAACCCACTGTAAAAAAGCCCGGTTAATATTAATTCAAAAAAACAATTACAGATAAAAATATTTACTGTCATCATAAAAAATTATTAGTCCGAACTATATCTATTGACAAAAATGGTAAAAGTTCAATCATATATATCTATAATTTATAATTCAAAAATTGATAAATTTGTCTTCATTAACTACATAAGATATATCTGCTGTATGAGTAAAACCCGACAAACCAGATAATTAAGATAAAAGCAATATTATTGGATAAAAAAGTTCAATTAGTGTCAAAGTCAAAAAAAATAGTCGTAACATGTAACAATAGTGCTGTCATATTACCGATATTTGACTGAAATGCTTAATAATACTAATTGGAATGTTATTTTGTGCATCACATATTTAAAAGAACCGGACTTTTTATATTTTGGGCTTTTGAATAGTCTACCGGGAAAATGTAGTAGGTACCCTTGCACTATACTACTATAACCAATTCATGTTTGTATAAAGTTTATAGTTCTATTTCTATAGCTACCAAACTAATATAGGTATAATATTATTATTAGCTATATAATTGCGTATTATAGAATAAAGTGATGTGTGAATATATAGGTTTATGGAACAATAACTTAAAATTAGTCTAAATATTATGAACATTTTATTGTATGGGTATAAGCAGTAGATATTAATAATCGGTACATTAATACACATAATAAAAATAGTTTCTAACCCTTAGGTACATGAACATGATAATACTTTCTAAATTACATGTAACATACTTATTATGATAAAATAAAAAAATCGTTATTTTTTGATAAGAATTAAATTACCTATTTAATTTTTTCTAAATTTTAACTTCAAATGTTTTTAAAAAAATGTATGCGCATGTTCTCAAATTGTAGTTAGAAAAGTTTATAAGAAACCGTGCATTATATTTTTAGGATTTAATTATAAGAATTTAAAATGTATAAATTCTTAACTAACAAATAATTTGCAAATTTCTGTGATTTTGACCAATATTTGAACTTTTAAAAACACTTATTGGTATAGATGTTAGTTTTGCTCGGTATAAGTATGAATACATCTTACAAATCTATGCTGATTTCTTAAGTATTAGAGATAAGTATTTAAGTATTTAAGATTAAATTGCTACCTATACTATAAGTAAATATTAAAAAAAAAAAATAGTATATTTTAATGCAGTCGTAGCAAATTTTCAAGACAAAGGAAAAATTGTGAAATTTCTAATTTAATTTGAGTAAATAATATTCTAAAATCATGCAAATTATGTGCTAAATTTAGATAAAGGAAATCATTAAAATTCCTAAATGGGTGTAGCTGGCGCAATGAACGTACAAGCTATGTACGTTATATACAAGCTATATTAGGTATATACTATATATCTATACTTATTTTAAATAAAAATATTTATAATATAAATATATAATATTTATAATCCTAAAATTATTATTTAAAACAAGGGTCGGCAACCTTTTTGGTGTCAAGGGCCTAAAAATAAAAATGATTTTTTTTACGAGGCACTAATCGAATACACCTTATTCTATCTAAACAAAAGTTTATAGTTATATCAAATTTAATTTATTTAAGTCCATCGTTGTTTGGTAGGTATATTAATTTAATGTAGTATATATTAACAATTTTTTAATGATAAAAAAAATACAAAGAAAAAGTTAATGTGATTTTTGAGATTGAATAGCATCAAACAGTTTCTTGATTGTAGGTTTGATTTTCGATGTAAAGATTTTCAATACCTATAGCATTCAAGTAACCATCGTATAATAGCGAAGTAGGTATATTTTCTTTTTCAATATTTCATTAGTGAAAAAGTTAATTTACAAATATTCGCACTTCTAATTTCTAAACGCGGATAACATTTGTTTCCCAGAGACTCGAATAAAACTGAACTAAGTTGTGGCCATCGTGAAAAGCAGTTTAAAAACTTTCGTCACTTTGTAACTCAATAATTACCATTTGTAAACAATAATGTGGTTTACAATATTTTTATATTAATTATAAATTGGCATCGCGGACCGCGGGTTGCCGTCTGTCGACTCTTGATTTAAAATATTATAAATTTATAACTATTATAAAATATATAAGTAAATAATATTGTTATTGTTATATTATCATCATTCATCATTCATCACTCACAAAAACTGATTATTTTTGGGCGGCAATATGATTTTACGTTTAGTTGATTATGTATATTTGATAAGTTTTATCATTTTTATCACATAGTATTATGTTTGAGTAGAGATAACAACAAAGTAAAGTGAAAAATAACTGAACTCAAACTTGAAACTTCAAAGTTCTTTTATTGTATTTTATTTTTTTTACATGTACGCGGTTCGTTTAATAATAGTTTGCATATTTTAATACAGAAGTTATTTTAATAATATAATTTTAATAGTATAATAATAATAATCTGTTGTATAATTTATGTTTAGAAATATTTTCTATAAGATGAAAAAAATTTTGAAGCCATTAGGATGTGAAGTGCATGGGGTTGACTTAAAAACTGAAACAAGTCCTGAAAGTAATATTTATGTTTCATAATCTTTAATAGCTGTGTTTCATATTTATATTTTTTTTAAAACAGTTAATTGATTTATCTACTTACCATGTTTAGTTAACTTGTAATTTAATTATATCATAATATATTTTTATGAAATACATTACATTTTCAGTTATTAAACAGATACAGGAAGATGTTACAAAACATAGAATCTTAATATTTAAAGATCAAGGTGTAATAAGTGGTGATAGACATGTTGAGATTAGTCGTTGGTTTGGAGAGTTAGAATCTACATTCTACAAACATAAGAAATCACCTCATCCTGATGTGTTTCGAGTATCCAATGATGAAAATGAAGGATGTACAGGTAAATATGTCTATATATATTAATGAAATTTACTTCTTTATGTAGACATTTAAATTTTTTTATCAAATCTTAATTAGTAATTATTTTTGTCAAATAGGTATCTATTAGTGCACATATTTTATTATTTAAACTTCACAAAAAATTTACGTCTATAATACCCATTTATACTAGAATAATTACATTATTAAACAATGCATTTTAATAAACTTTTTAATATGAAAATAATTGATATCTATGTTTGTATGGATATATTCATAAAATAGTTTTTTAATAATAAAGAGTTTGTTTTTTTTTTAACTTGCCGGAAAATATCAAAAAAGTTACTATTATTATAAAAATTTGATATTTGAGTTTATCTGAGTATAATTTTTATTTAATTAATCTAATATCAAAATAATATAATTTTATAATTAGCTATATATTATTCAAGGTGTTGGACGATCGGGTTGGCACATAGATGGGACATTTCAACCTGCACCATTTAGTTATTCTTTGTATCATATGCCGTGTGTACCTAAAGAAGGACATACATTATTTATTCCACTGACAGAGTTGATTCAAAGTTTGGATAAAGATACTTATGATACTTGGAATCGAGCTTGGATGGTTAGTGATAGAAGATCGTCACCTATCCATCCACTGATATATAGTCATCCTCGAACAGGCAAACCAGTGTGTATCATTAAAAACTTTTTTGAAATTATATTTATTGTTTATAATTAATTATAACATTAATAGTTATTATAATTATAGGTGTTATGTTTTCATTTGGGAATGACTACTGGATTTATTTGGAACTATAAACTTCCATCAGAATCAATTGCTAGCCATGAAGAATACAAAGAACTTTTAGGTTCAATAAACAATAAAATCAATCAAGATAATGGAAAGCTTATATATGTACACAAGGTATATATTTTATTTTATACCTAAAAAAAAAAAATAACGATTTCAAATTTAATTACCAATTTTTACTATATATTTTTTTAAATTATTCACTATTATTGTTAAAAAGTTATAACAAAATTATATAAAGTATATATAAAAAATATATGTACTTATAAGTTATAATATTAATTATAATAATTTCTTCTGGCTGAATTGACTTTATTTTGGTAATATATTGTAGTGTATTAAAAATTAATTAATACTAATAAATATATAATTAAATTTAGAAATTAAAACTTATATATTTTTCACACTAATGTCTAATGTTGAAGTTACTTTAAAAAATCTCTTTTATTACTTGACATTTTAGATTTTTTAAAATTATTTCATGAGATAAAAACGTTTAAATATTGGCATATTAATATGGTTTAATCATGAATCATATAAAAAAAAAAAAAAAACTTTTTTCCTATTGTTTATTAATAGTTCGACCATCTGTATTACATTAATTTAAACTATAAAGTTTAAATGGGTAATTATTCTCAGATAAATGTTATCTGCAGATAAAAAATGTATTTTTTAAATTATTTTGATTCCTCATCCTAAAAAAAAACTCTGAATTCCTAATATAATTTTCCAAAACTATTAATTGTTGACGTTTATAAAAAAATTAAGAAAATACATAGTTAAAATAATTTATTTTATGTTTAGAATGCTGTATTTATTTCAAACGCACTATTATTTGTTTATAAATAATAAATTGTTTGTAATTTTCATTTAAACATTTTATGTTAAGAAGTTCTTTAATAATATTTATTTAATTTTATTGTTTAGTGGGAACCAGGGGATTTCATTATATCTGATAACTTAGCTGTTGGACATTTTGCTCACTCGAGTACACAGGCACCCAGAAGTGAAGTTGGTCTCAGAGTTCTACATAGAACTACTATTAAAGGAACACATCCACCAAAAAAGTAAAAAATAAAATATTTTTTTAAATATAACTACTGCTATGATTTTAATATTCTTAAACATTTGTTATGTATTTTATTGAAAAATATATATTATTGTTTTATTTTTTAATAAATACTTTTTTTTCTATATTATCCTTAAATAAATTGTCATTTATGTTATTCTCACTTAATCAACAGTGAATAAATCAATGGTTATACCAAACTAGTAAGTGATATTAGTTGTATTATCCTTTGTTGAATAATATTAAAATGAACAAAAAATCTACTATTATTATATTGTTTTATATGTATATGAAAAATATTTCATAAATTTTTATACACGAACAATTACAATTTATAAGTTCCTTTCTTATTATTATAACCCAATAAGTGTGATACACTAATATGAATAAGTATACAAAATAAATTATAAGTAAAAATTTAAAAATAATAGTTATTATAGTTTTATTATTGCTTAATTTTGATCTACTTATATTTGGCTTTAAAGTTATTGATAGTTAATGTTTAAATTTTGAATATTATTTTTATAAAATAGAAACATCAACATTTTTTAATATATATCAGTTTCAGTATACATAACTATATGTGTATATACGATAGACGTTGATACATAGTAATTAATTATAATTTTCTAGATTCAATAATTATCTACTCAAATAGTTAAAGTCCTATTGATATTTTAAGACTATAGAAATTTGATGGTTCATTATATATGTTATTCTGTCTTTGTCAGTAGGTACTCAGTTGATGTTGAAAGTTTAACTTTAGTTGGTAAATAATATCACCTGCATGAATGTATGATGATTCAAACACAAAAGTATGCAGCCTATGTGGTAAAGTTCTTGTGACATGGTTGAACATTAGTATTGTTAGTTGTAAGTTTTAACTTTGCTATTAACCAAAAAAAAAATTGTATATTTATATTATTATGTATAGCCGTATAGGTACCTACTGTATAGATATTAATATTGATTATCTAATTAATAATTCAGTGATATTAGGTTAGTAGAAGAAATTTAAATTTTTAATAGTACATTTACTGATATACTTATATAACTAATGCAAGCATTTTAGTATAGTAAATTAGGAGGGGTTAAATTGTGCAAAGAACAAAATTTATTGTATAAGTAGGTAGGTTGGTACCTATTCATTGTTCATAGTTTTAGTAGTAGGTACCTATAAATTATAATGAAATAAGGTTATATACATTTTTATTTGAAGTAACTTAGGTATCTTATTAATACAGGGATAAATATGGTTAAAAAATTAAGAGTGTTTGAAGTATAAATTAACGTGTATTAACATTGTATTTTCTGCTTAGCTTAGAGCTAAGCCCCCTTCTAATTTATACCTATGATTATTAATAATCATAACTATAAAATTTAGTTTTTAGGTACTTAGTTAATATTATAATTTATTTAGATAATTAATCGCTAAATATCTACATGTTATATTAGTAGCCAGTTGTAGGTATATACTATATACCTACTATATAATATTTATGCATGTGTGAATAATAGGTATATACTAGATACTTATCCTCTAATAAATTAATAAAATTACCTAGAAATAGGATAAACAGTAAGAAATATATTATAAATTTATAATTGCAATAATAAAAATAGGTACTTATATGTTTTGATAACAAATTTCATTTTGCTCTGGTGGTAACAATTTCTATCATTACCTAACCTATCTAGATATTAGTTATTTTAGCTGTTAATATGTTATATAATTGTAATGATAAACTGAAATTACAGCAGCAATATAATAGTATTTATTATTTGTATCTTTTATACATTTTACTATAACTGTTAAATAATATTAATTCACTTTAGGTACCTACCTTGTACTTTATTGAGTTATAGTTACTATTGATAAATGATAAGTATATATTTAGTTTTATTATATTAACATTATGTACTTATTTATATTTACCACTAGGTATCACTTATACGTTAAACATGATAAAATTTTAAAATACCCATGTAAAATATCAAATATATATTAGGTACCTATTTACCTTAATATCTATATATGAATAAAATAACTAAATTTAAAATCAAGTTAAAAAATTGTAATTGTTTTTTTATGCTAACATTCAGAATGCTATTTTTTTAAAGTTTCAAAAAGTTTTAAACTTCTTAATGGGACTTAAAAAAAAAAAAAAACAATAGCCTGATAGGGGAATGATCGCCATATTATTTATTATATATTATATATTTTATTTATTATATAGTAGGTAATACTAAAGGTATATAGCTAACTCAAACTATCATTTTAAAATTTGACAAGAACAATATATGTGATACATCCGATGGGACAACATAAAGCAACAAAATTTAGATAGAAGTTTCATGTCGCTTTATATAATATACAACTGCTCACTGTAGGCCACTGTCCACTGCGTCTATAGTCTATATCTATATTATTATAAATTATAACGAAGAGCTATGACAGTATAACTGTAGATATAATTGTACTTGTACAGCTATGATATTATTACTTAAGTTATTATCATAGTCATAGTCTATAAATTAATGATTATTTTATGGGATGATATATTTACCGTAAGACGTAATTAATTCAGAAAACGGTAACATTTTAAGAAAAAAAATTTATACTCTTGCATAAATATATGTATATACATTTTTAATTTCATATTTCGAAGCAGAATATGATTTTTGGTATTTATACATATACAAATCAAATTTAGTATAATTTAGCATATGTTATTATTATTATTACCTATTTAGTATATGTTATTCATATTATATAAACACAGTAAGCGTTTAACTTAGAAATTATAAGAAGGTATTTTAAATTTTAAGGAACAAAGTAGTAGGCCAAAATTTTGCTATACTATTCCGTTCATAAAAAGTTAAAAATTGAAATATTTTATAAGTTGTTTCATTAAATTACTCGTGTAAGATTCGATTTTTTATAAGTATTTCAAAAATTATTCTGTTTAAAAAAAACAATTAAAAATGTGTCATTATTAAAAAAAAAAATAAATCGATATGTATATAATTTATAGTTTTTGAAAAATGTTGTTGTTTTATGACTTAAAAATATTAATATTACACTAAATGGATCGCCTGTATAGAACTATTATATGTACTTATTCCTATAATAATATAGATCTATAGAATATGATGGTGAATTTTAAAGGTAAATAGTAAACACTTATTTTATTGAAAAAACAAAAATATTCATGTATACCTATTTATAAGTTATAACATAATAACAATATCTCAGGTACCTAGTCTATTATAATTATTTTTAGGTAGACATAACTACATTCGTTTAATTTATTGTAGGTACTAATAGATGTTTACTGTGGTCTGTGGACTGTTACTTGTTAGCATTAGAGAGTAGAGACTAACTGTATTAGGCATTCGACTACTATTACAGTAGTAAGTATCCGAATGAATAAAGCCGTAAAGGTATAATTATCGCACACAATACAGCAATATAGCAGGTATTTGATTTAATTTAATAAACGTATGAGTACACCACTACTGGCACATAATTGTAGAAATTGAGATGTATAATAATTATATTAGCACTGTATTTGTTTGTCTTGACGTCTTGTTTTTAATATTATTATCATTATTTTATTTAAAAAAACAATAAATTTCAATTTATATTGAAATTGTAATATTACAATTATAAGTACGACTTACAATTAATAAATAAATTACGACGCTATGGAGTTACCTAAATGGTTAAATAGGTAGTAAATACTAAATTTAATAATAATAATAATGTCATAACAATAATAATAATAATAATAATAATACATCATTCCAACGCCAAGTCGAGAAACTCCGAGTGTTGACGACGACAGCGACGAAGTGCGTCGAATCCGAAAATTGCCAATAAACATATGATTGGCGGCTTTCCGTTGGTGGTGTAGAACTCGCGGCGCGTCGGTTGTTGTGCGGAGAGGTGGGGGAGTAGCCGACAAGCTGCTGCCGCCGCTGCTATCGCGTTTCGGCTCGTGCAGTCGTGTTATCAGCGGGTGGCCAACGTGCCCGTTTGCAGCCGCAGCTCTAGTTAAATTTTTTTTTTTTTTTTAAATCAAAATTTCAAGCGCAAAACACCGTATATTATTATATTATATATGAAAAAAAAAAAATAAATAATATAATATAATATTGTATTATTATCCCAATTATAAATATATTTATATATATATATAAATAATATTCCGCAGCGGTCTTCTGTTGTCGGTTTTCGAAATCTGTTATACTATTTAATATAATATAATATTCAGACGTGTGCGTTTCGAGCAGGAGAGGTTCGCGCGCGGCATATCATAATTCCGCACGGGACCGTTCGTGATATTCTATAAATGGGGGAGTACAAATTTAGTGTAAATTCTAGTTTAAGTTCTATCGAGTACCAATCGTCGGTGAACACGTCCGGATTGCCATCGTCGTCGTCGTCGTCACAGTCGTATTTTGCAGACGACGGCCCACAGCAGTTGCAGGACGTCGCCGTCAAACAGCAGATCTCACCGTCACCGGTCAACGGCGATCACCAACAGCTGCCCTCCACCAAAGGCACTGTCAAAGAAGATTCTGTGTTGGCAGTGTTAGGTGGTGGTGGTGGAGGTGATAAATCGTCGGGCGGCCCACAAATGCAGTTACCATCATCTTATAACAATGAAGCTAGTCTTAATGTGATAAACTCGTCGACCAACTCGTCTACGTCTAGTCTATGGTCAGCATCTGTTGATGATACGTTAATACATGGGTTAAATGCATCTGCGGCTGCAAACAACGCTGTAAGTTATGCATTAAAAAAATATAACAATTTTATAAATATATGTATAAAGTTAACAGTTATATTTATGTATTTTTACCAATCAATAGGTAGTTGAGACATTTTTCTATACTTGTGTTTTTAATTTTATTTTTATTTTTCACTTGTCTTTATAATTAAACAAATAAGAATATATTTACTTGTATCTACATTTATTTTACTTATTACTTTTAAATGCTTGATGCTCAGGATTTTTCATCAGGAATTATTTATTTTTATATGAATTATTTTAAATGTATTACATTAGGTACCTATACTTATTTATAATTTAATGATATTTAATTATTAATACTTTAAGCAATTTAATAGTTAATTTTTTATCTAATTATAAATGTAATTTTTTATTATGTATGCACACATTTTTGGAAACTTATATTTTTTCACTAAATAAAGTAAAATATTAAGATATTTTTTTCTAAAAACTAGCTTTTTTTAGCTAACCAGTTATAATGTTATTTGATATTTTTAAGTCTCTTTAAGCTCTCAGCTCCCTAATTTTTGCTTGAATGTTTAGTGTAAGTTTTTAGTAAATAATATACCATTTTAGAGAATTCAAAATTTTGTTGAATATTAAGTTTGATAGTAAATATAGTTTTTTAATATTTTTGAAAAAAATAAAATATATTTATTTAAATTAAAAAAAAAAAAAAAAAAAAAAAAAAAATGAAAATTATGAATTTAATAAATATTTATTGTTATTAGTAAGTATTTATTTAAAAAAAATCTGGAAATTATATTAAGTTTACTTAGGTATCTATATCTTATAATATTTAACTGATCTCTATTCTTTAACCACGTATTTATTTAAACTTAGGAGGAAAGATGGATATTTTGATAAATGCATATCATTAATAGTGAATGTATGCTTTAAAAATAACTTTAAGTTTTCACAAATAACAATATTTACTGTTATTTATTGGTTTTAAATAGGTAGGTACCTATTAGATAAAAAATAGTAAAAAATATGTTAAATTTAAATGTTTAACAATTTTAGTTAATTGAAAATTTGATTATACTTAAGTCTTGTAATTTATTTAAAAAATTAAAAATAAGTAATAATAATTATTTATCATATTCTTGTACCTATAGGTATTTGATTGATTTACTATGTATTTATACATATTGATTAAAATTTAGTTAATAGTTGTCGAATTTAAATAAAACATCAATAAGTACATTAAATCTATTAAAATTATTAAAATCCCATCAATTCATTATTTTTAATTTTAATTTATATTTATTTACATTCTTACCTAGTTAATTATTTCACAATTATAAGAAATATCTATGTACTTTTATCTTAATGTAAGTTCAATTATTAATATTTTTAAAATTTTATTAAAAAGATTAAGAAAATAAAGCTGTTTTATTATAATTATCTAAATAATAAAGTTTTCATGAATATATTTTATTTTTTATGAAATATAAAAAATAAGCACCAATTATTGTCATATTTATTTAGTGGTTTTTTTTTTTTAAGAAATGTCTACTTATTTATGTAAATTATTGTTATTGTTATTTCTAGTTTCATTCAAGAATTAAACAATTCCTATTTATTATAAAGTTTTGTTAGATATGAACATTTTCCTTATGGTACTTAAAAAGAATGATAAATTAAATTTATATATAACATAGTTTTAAATTTAGTTATAAGTTGTTTATGGCTATTCAAATTGATGGATGGATTTAAAATTTAATGTTTTTTAGAATTTCCCTAACACTTTGTACAATACTGGCTTGGGACCTCATCACCAGCAACAACAACAGCAACCACAGCAACATCATCATAGACGTCAAGCATCTGGCGCTACGCATAATTTCCCTCACAATCTGTCTAGGCAACTGCAACAGTCAGCTCATCCGCAGAACCTGTACATGGCCAGTAAGGGATATTCTTGGTCACAGTCTCATCAGAACTCGTGGCTTAACTCTAGTCAAAATCAAAGTGGTATAGCTGGTTCATCATGGAATCGTGGTCGTTCTGTACCTAATTTGAATCCAATGCATGCTTTAGCTGGTCGTAAGCCAAATACTAATTACAATCATCATCAACATCAATCTACTCCTACAAATTCATCAAAATTTAGACGTAGTACTTCTTACCCGGGAAAAGGATTATTCAATCAAAATTCTACAACATTTGATATTAACAACATCGATGAGACAGACACAATGAGTTATCAGGTAAGATTTTTAAAATTATTATGGGTCATAGTTTATATTGGTACTTGAGCAATAGGATTATTAATTGTTAAGGTTAGAATATCAGGAGTTGGGAGAAGTACCTGTTTTTTATATTTAAAAATATCACTAGGTTTTTATGTATTATAATTTAAAATTTATTTGTTATATCTAGGCCTCTTATTTTTCTATATTTAATTATTGCCTTGTTTGTTAATAAAAAGTTTTTACATTTTGATAATTATAGTTAGCTAATAAGAAATTAAAAATTAAACAAATGAAAAGCAAGTATCTATTAAAAAAAAACAATAAAAAATTATCCTCATTAGTGAAAACAGTTATTTAATAGGTATTTATTTAGTGATTTTCTCTATTAAATCAAGTACATTGGTGTTTTTTAGTTAATAGTAAATATCTGTAAATAATTTCATACTTATGATATATAATTATCATACATAGGTATGATTAATAAATGAATAAGTCATAACTTAGGAGCATCAAGCAATAAATACTTTTTAGATTTTAAGTGCAGTAAAAATATATTAGTTTTACAATTATATTTTTTAATACATTTTAGAATAAAATTAATACTCTAAGTGTTTCTAATAGTCATGTACATCTACTGGTGATCAAACTACATTTATATTTTGAATGGGTATGTGATCTTATTTTTTAAATTTTTCAGTAATTTTTCTATTTGTAAGAAAATATTTTAAAAATATTTTATTAAGTGCAGCTTTATTCAAAATTATATTCCATTGCAATAATTCATTTTGTGAATTATCTGACTTATGCATTTTTATAAATTAATATCACAGCACTCAATTATCTTGCATTGAGATAATATCAAAAGATCTAAGTGATTCAAATAAAGATACATTGTATTAACCTTTGTGGGACTCCTTGTATGTAATTTTCATTAATGATTTGATAATGTATTCAGTTATTTTTTTTCTGTCAAGATTTTAACATGGACATCAATGTACTCGTATAATATGTTATTTATATGGTTTTAACAATATGTATACAAATACTACCTTGAGTAATATTTAAATTACTTAGCAATTGTATTAAACGATTAAATTTATAATTTTCAATTATTATATAAAAGTTATTTTTATAACTTTAAACTTTAATAACATAGATAATAAATTTTAAATAAACTTATCTTTAATTCAGTTCAGAGCATAAATAGAAGTTATAATTGTAAAATTATGTAGTCTATAACCTGTGTTTTATACTAAAATATTTTTTTAGTGTTCTTTTTCAATAGCAATAAAGTTGTCTAACTTATTTTAAGTACAATAGGTACCTACAACATTTTTTTTTAAATTTCAAGTTTAAATATCTATTTACTTGATAAAGTAGTTTAATAATGATGAGATTTTTTATCGTGTTTGTTTTCTATAAATTATTTAAAATGTGTATTTACTGTTTTTAAGTCAAATAGAAAACACATTAGAAATATTAATTGTACTATTTTTAAAGAGTGTTACTTCCGTTTATGAATAATTTGAATACGTATTTTTTTAAGGTGTCAATTATAATGATCAACAAATTTTATTCATTTACAGATCTCTAAAATAAAGTTTAGTAATATAGTTTTTCTAACTTATTGGTAAAATGAATACATTTATTCGCTTGTTTTAGTGAAGATTAATTTTGTATTCTTTGAAATTGAATTATTTCCGTTTAATTAATCGGTAGACCGATTAGGAAGGTCCAACTACCCAAGCATTATCCTATGCTGTTGTTTTATTTGTTACTCCAAGGAAAACTTAGGAAAACAATTCTTATGAGTAATGGCGGCATTATGCCAAGTCTGTTGTTTTATTAACGAATCCTTTTCCACTCTTTTCTATCTTTTGTGAATACTCCTTTAGCATTGCCGATTAAATACGTTTTTCTTGCTTATTTATACCACCACCATATTAAATCCTTCATACCATTAACAGGAATCTCTGCGGGATATTGGTAAATGAATGACATGCTTACTTTTGTTGTCTGTTATTATTTTTAACCTTTATTATATGAATTATAAATCATTATTTCAAAAAGTATTTACGTAAAATACTAGTTTAATAAAAATATTAAAAATATGTTTCACTATGTTAAAAAATAGGATTATGTTTACAAATATTGTTTTTATTTAATATCTATAGGTAACTATCTATTAGGCGTATAAATATTTATATTTAATAATTAAGGGTATAATAACTTTTAAATTACCAGTATTGTATTGTTATAGTATAAATGTTAAATCTAAACATGCAAAAACTCAAAAACTTAGCTTAAATAAAATAATTATACACGCCCTTCAATAACTCAAATACCAACATTTTAATGTTTTTGATAAAAGTTAAATTATTTAGTTTATATTTATTTAACTAAAAACATATGCTATATAAATAATCTAAATTTTCCATTTCATTTTTTTTTTTTATCAAAATATTTCTGCGTATTAATAATAATATATATTTAATGTGTAGACTAGTCATATTCAATTGTTTTTTTACTCCAACTGAGGCTTTACTACCTACACACATAATGTTTTGTTAAAATGATCATATATTTACAACAATCATTCTTTCGTGTCTTATTGTACCTCTTCTTTAATAAGAGTATAGTAATTTGTGTAATGATTGTGTTAAGGTAAAACCATCCTAGACCTTTATAAACCCAATTCTATTCAGTAAAGTTTCATTTAAAAGTTCTCTTAAGAGGATTTACCTCTTAAAATGTTTGTAGTCTTATTACAATAGTCACGTCTCAAAATTTATTTTGAAACTATTTATTATTCGCTGAAGAAGAAACCATTATTTTTCAATTATTTTCGTGAAATGTGTTATAAATATTTTTACATTAAATAAACGACAAAATTCAATTTTTTAAGTAATTTAAATAGTTTGGTGCATTAAATTGTATTTAGTTACTGTAAAAGTATAATTTAAAATATATTTTTAAACAAATCTAAAAACGAAAATCAGGTTGTCACATTGATATAGTGTTTTTTCGTTGTCGTTGTCGTTTTTTTTTTTTTTGATACATTGTTTCAAAAGGTAGCCGACGCAGGCGTTAAGAAGACCCTCCGGCTGTACGGTCAATAAAAATAGTGGCCCCGCCGGCGGCGCGTGGACGACGGGCGGCCTTACTACGAATAACCTCTCGGGTTCGCCACGTTGCAATGAGCACATACACGCGCGCTTGGGAAATGACACAGGGGTGTATGTTGACTGGCGGGTGTACAGAGTACAAACCATAGATGTATAGCAGGTACTAACTCATGCACGTCAAAAGAAATTAATAACACTAAAAGGTCAATTCGTATGCAAACCTCTAAAAAATCGTGTTTTTGAAAATGTGTTCAAATACGTATTATAATTTATTTAAGGTCTCAATTAATTGCTCAGTTGTGATGTTCAATTTTGTTTATTAGATAAGTATGTATTTAAACATTTTCATTTTAAAAACTTATTAATAAACTATAAAATATGTTTTAACGTCTTAATAGTAGCTTTTGGTCATATATATGACCAATTTTTTTTTGCTTATTTGAAATTAAATATATTTTCGGTTATTATAGTTCAATAAAATAAGTAAGTTAGCAATAATTAAATATTTAATTAATTCCGAAAATTTTTAACCTTAATCCAAGTATTTTAATTGAAACATGTTAAAAAGTTAAAACTTATGAAGAAATTATGCGAGTATGCTGTAAAGTACACATTGTACCTATTAAATATTTATTTCTAATGCTTGATTTTAAGAAGTATATAAAGAACAATAAGAGAAATCCTTATTTCAAAGTATCATAATCTAGGACCTAAAGTTTGATATAGGAAAATGTAAGGTACTTTTTTATAAACAAAAAGTCCTGCTTGACTTTATTTTTTACCTAGAATTGTCATTTATATGTTAGCTTTGTTAGGTTAAACACATCATATTGTTGTCTATAATATGAGTAGTTTGTCCTAAAAAGGACAAAAACGACGTGAAAGTGTTCTAATATAAAAGAGAGACCTAGTTAATTATTGGTAAAACGCAATTTGTATAGTGATAATGCTTTTAGAAACCACGGGGATTCGTGTGAACATTTACATCTTGAATTTTAATTACCTTTACACATTATTGACATATTGTACTTACTATTTCCATGATTAAATCATAAATAATAATTCACATTTAGATTCTGAATTGAGCGACGGAGATACCTATTGAACAGTGATATATATCCTTAATAACCTAATGACCATTTTTAATCTTATCTGTTTTTTTAATTATTAAGTAAATAAATTATTGTATTCCAACTATTTATATTTACCTTATTAAAAAAAAAAAATCAAATTACATAGGTTTTTGGCCAGAAAATATACTCAATCCTCTGGGAATTAACTTTTATAATTCACTTTTTTTTTATTATTCTTGTCCAATCATGAATAAAATTTGAGATGTATTTTATTTTATTACTTTACATTTTATTTTTTTGATTTATGCATGAATTATTTAAAATTTCTTTCTATATTAAATACTTGAAATATGTAGTTAAAATTTCATTTTTTAAGTTAGATTATTTAAAACTATTTTTATAAGATTTAATCATTGGTTTTTTAGTATAGTATTTAATGTTTTCTTATCTAAGTAGAACTTTTACGTAATTTTATAGAATCTATTATATGATACGTATAAAATATATAATTCGAACAACATAGGTTTGTGCATCCGCTGCAATTTTTGTTGTTATTAACTTTATACAATTGCTATTTAATAACGTTATTTTTAGGTTTACACTCCTACAGAGTATATGGCATATCATTATCATACAATTTGTTCTGTTTTATTGTTACGGAAAAAATAACGTCTATTTTTTTTATAATTTTCTACATAATATACTTTATTCTTATTGAATATAAAAGTCTGTGTTTATATCTTTAAGCAACTTAAGAGTTGATATTTTTATTTACAAAATTAATTTTAATTTAAAACAATAATATTGTTTAGCTTGA